GTCCAGATGAAAAGTGTGGAGGCTCTGCTCTCTCCCCCCAGACACTTGTCTGTGTAAAATGCAATTTCAATGGGAAATGGACATGCAGGAAGTATCCACATGTTAGCCCCTGATTTTGCAATAACATTAGGTAAGAGTGATGATGAGACATAGGTTCTGTGTATGGGAGAATGGAGAGTAGATAAAGGCACCTTTCCAGCCCTCCCAATGGCAACTAGAGCCAGATTTATGTCACAATGAGCTTCCTCACGGAAACTTTTGCAACCAAAGCCAAAGGCTGTGCTTTATTTTGGGCAATTTTAAAGAAAAAAAAAAAAAAAAAACAATGGTTCACCAGAAGACCTAATGACTGAAAAGTGCAGTTGCTTCTTTGCACTTCTGTTTTGGAGGGGTGAACTGTCATGGGGATGAAGACTGTAAGTGTTCCTCTTAACAGAATGGCCAACATCTCATGCACTTAAGTATCATGTAGACAATTGGACCAGACTTATTGTGTTGTTTCTATTGTAGATAACAGTGAGCCTTTAGTAGATAGTGGAGCTGAGGATACCGTAGTCTACAGCAACCCTCAAAAACATCAGTGTCAATAAGGAATAATGAATGCCTTAGGAGAAAAAATAGTACAGGTGGAAAGGATTCTATCTTTGGGAGGTATATACTTCATGGCATACTATGCATATTTTCCTAAAAGGAAATATGTTGGGAGTTCCAGCTTGGGTTACCTTCTTATGCATTATTAGTATGTGAAATGTTTACAGATTCCACTGCCATATACAGGCCACAGTATCCACTGAATGCCTGATAAAGAAATGTAGAGGACATGACCATGTTGCTGAAGACATCACTCTAATGCCAGAAAGCAACATGTAGATACTTGTGAAAATGTCCTACCCCGTGGGTGCACACTCAGCATGCTAGCAAGTTGTGACCCCTAGTGCAGGCATGTCATGCATACAACTAGAGCAAGCAATTTGAATTGGATTTAAGGCTGATCCACACAATACAGAAACCATGTTGGCCACTGTAAACCTAGTCAGGCAGCTATGACTGGTGAAACCACAGTGCCAGCAGGAAGCAATGCTGTGGTATTGCTTTGTTAAATAGGCTTTTAAAAATGCCCTTCAAATTGCCCTCTACTCACCTGTTCTTATGCCCTGAGAGTATTGCTCTTATTGACTAGAATGAAGGAAGCTTCTTTATTCAATGGGCAGTGATTACATCACTTTGAAAGTTTCTCTGGGTGACATTACTTGCTGCCCAATCCAAGGGCATTCATGTTTCTCCTTTTGCCTTTCCTGCTGTTCTCCCTGTTGGGCTTGAGCTTGTGACACTGAAACTAGTCTATCCGTAACCTGAGGGATATTTCCAAGGAAAACTCCAAATTGTCAGTGGTATAGACCCCTAATTCTTCTGATGAACATTGTCTGACTTTTGGAGACATGAGGCCCTGTGCTACTGTTAGAACACACTTATTTGTCTACCACAAACCAATGTCTTACTCCCTTTCTATGTCAGCTGCTCAGAGATAGACTACCTTCCTGGAGCCCCTGGTACCCTGCTTCTGTCTTCCATCTTTCTGGTACTTTACTTAGCCCTGGTACTTCTATGGTTTTACCTTAAGGGTGAATGTTCTTCTCTATTGAATATCCACTCAGTCTGTAAATATGCTACATTTGTAGCACTGGAAAGATGTGGGGATCTAGTGATGCACATATCTCCAAGGCCATTTGAGTACTACAAGGAGTTTAGGTGTCTTTTACTGGCATGCC